GTCCGTCCAAATCCAGAGTATATCATTCAATTGTTCATTGAGGTGATATACGAAAATAGTCCAGTTAGTCATTCAACTTATTCAGCTGATATGACTTAACTACAACCAACTAAACCAGGAAGTCACTCAACTTAGTTAGTTGAACTGACTTAAACACAATTTTAGGATTCAATAGTTTACAATCCATTCCGTTAATCCGATAGGTTTGGTTTTAGTGTTTTGAAGCTAAACCTTGCCTAGTATACTACCGTCCCATATAGGTGCATACAATCCTCCATAACCATGTAAATTACAACATATAAATCATAATTTAGTAATTTACACCCAAACCATTATCCAAGTAGTTGCAGAAAACGTTTCATTATTCTAGCAATTACAATCCAACAGTAATCCAAGTAATTACAGAAAAAGTTTAATATTTCGACAACTAGTATTCCAAAGCATATACAGATCAAAACATATATATAGATGACCCCATCATGCATTTAAAATAAGTTTTATTAACATCCTAAATCCCATTAAATTGCTAAAATTTAGTTAAGCAATTAATCCGTCTTTTAACCGTTAACAGCACAGTAAGTTTACTAATTTAATATTGTTTGTCCCACTGACTCAGAGGCCAACTTTGACCAATCTAAGGTCTTAATAACACCCAAAATAAACCATTTAATCCTTCTGTAAAGTCCCAAAAGTTTCAGAATAGTTCCCATGCTCCAACAGTACCCACACTCATTAAAAAAAATATATCAGAATGTTACTATTGAAGAGAGCCTGCTCCAAAACTTTGGGAGCAGGCTCCAATCAGCCTGGAGCCGGCTCCAAGGACATTAGAGCCGGCTCTACATGTGTGGGAGCCGGCTCCCACTTCTATGGAGCCGGCTCTCACCTCCTCTGAGAGCCTCCTGCTCCGATGCACTCCGTTTCAGCCCGCCTGCTCCATCTCCGGCCATTCCAACCTCTCTGTTCCCCTTCAATACTGAACTTAGGAGTCTTATCTACTCCCAGTAGCATCCCCATGGTTGGTTTACAGTGGTTAAAAGCAGTTACAGTAATTACAACAATACTAGTTTAGCATGCTTAAAGAATAACACTGGAACTCAAACAAGCACAACCGAAACAGAGTTGATTGCAACATATACAGATCATCAATATAGCATATATCATACATGTAAATCTCAGTTAATGATGAATTAAACCCTAGAGACTATCTAGGTGCACAGAACACAAGCCAGAGGGAAGGAGGAAGAAAAGAACTTACCTGTGATTTCAGTTTTGAAATCTCGGCGTCGCGTCCACTGTTCCTGCAACACTGAACTACTGTCTATCCTCCTCTGACTTCTGCTCTTCCCTTCCCCTAGGTCTGACCTTGAAACCTCAGTCGAATCCCACACCGAACGTGCTCTGTTTTCTCAAAACCTCACTCTGTATTTCTCTGTTTTTACAGAACTCAGTTTACGTCTATGAGCTAAGTGTTATGATTGTAAACCCTAGACTTAAAGTATAATGGTGTATTTATAAGCGTAACCCTAAAACCCTAATCCTTGTAAGATTAGAGACAGAGCTTAACTTGGCCCATAAACCATCATGTGTTATAAACAACGTCGGCTACACATATAAAGTTTAAACCTAATGTAAAACTATATGTGAGCAACAACAATTACAGTCACGTTTAAGTTTAAGACAGAAAAATAATTAAATTTCATTAAATACATTCAATTAAATAATTAACTAAATTCAATTAAATAATTAACTACATTGAACACACAATGAACCACTTAAACAAACAATTCCAATTAAATAAATAAATAACAATAAAACACTTAACAAATGATTAAAGAAAACAATTTAAGCAAATAATCACAAAAAATGTAACTAAATAATAAATTAAATTCTAGAAATATTCTTTTAGAATTAGGGGTATTACACGTTGTCTTAGATATAACTGTTTGTTTTCTATTCTCAACCTTTCTTATTGGACGGTATTTGGCAGAGCCCTGCGGGACATGAGAATGGAGGTCATATAATGGTGTTCCAACGTTTTTTAAAAAAGAATGTTTTCATAATTTATGCTTAGGAAAGGTGGATTGATGGCAAAGTAGTTAAAGTAGTTAGAGTAGGTAGAGTAGGTATGTGGATAGTCCATGCTAACCGCAGATAGGTTATAGTTAACTGAATTTTATATAACATCTTTCTTTAAAACCCGAATTGAACTAATGTTATTGAGTTCAATTCATTTAAAAACATAATTTGTTAAATCCCTAGAGTTGACACAATTAACCATAGTATGATGATTGTAGTACAAAGCCCTAAGATTTCTCTCTCTGATCACTTAATTTAACTTAGTTTAATATTTCAGTTTAATTTTAGTTTGTTTTTACTCGTGACAACCAAGCAAACTTTTCAACCAGTTATCTGTAAACCAATAGGACTAAATTAAAGACTGAATATAAATTCTCATATCCCTGTGGGTTTGACATCCTCTCTATAGTACTATCCTACACAGAGTCATTCTATTGTAAGTGGTTATTATTTATTATTGACACATCAGATATCCATTTGTTTTTTTTTTTTTTTTTAAATGTTAAAATTGAAAATTGCACATGTGTAGGTAGTTATTCATTTCCTCTTCCTTTCTTCTTCGGTTCTTCCCTTCCTTCCAATCAAACACAAAAAGTTTCATCTACCCCTCCTCAGTGCTTACCTCCAACCAACATAGCATTAAAATAGAACAAAAAAAAAATAAAACACTAATGTAAAGGGTAAAACTTGAAGGGGCAGTTGTGAAATTTAAAAATATATATACATATAAAAGTATTTTAAAATATTTTTAAAAAATGAATAAGAAATCAGGGGGCATGTGTCCCGTGGGTACATGCTCCCACCGCCGCAAAGGCCCTACGTCCACCATAGAATAAAAAAAATTAATAAAAAAAATAAAGTGTTCTTGGTCTTTTTTTATTTTTTATTTTTGGCACTTTTAAGATGTTGAACCAAAATTAAAACACATTAATTTTTCAAATTTTCTTTTGGAACTCCTGCTTCTTCTTTTTTTTTTTTCTTTTTTTTTTTTTTTTAACTAAGCAAAGTTTTAGACTTGTTCATAATTTTACTTTAGTTTCCAAGTTCTTCATTCCTATATATTTTAATACTTATATTTAATGTGATTTTTTCTCCACAAAAATGAAAATTTGAAATATATTTAGGACTGGCAACAACTGTATATTTCAATTTTCACAAAAACTATTTTTGACTTGTACAACGAAACTTTTTGTAAAGAGCCTAAATTTAGATAATCTCTTAATACTTTTGACATAATTAAGAGTATCTCTAGTGGTTGTGTATATATATATATATATATATATATATATATATATATATATATGATGTAAATTTAATGCATCATGATAGATTAACACAAAAATTTAGAGCTTTTTTTAAATACATTAACATATTTATCTTTATATTAATTCAGAAATATAATATAAAATAAAATTGGGAATGATGGCTGCAATGCCTTTCCTCTGATGTGGCCCAACCAAAATAAGACACATGTTCTAAAAAAGTTAAAAATTGAATCAAACCCATTTTAAGTGTCTCCTTTTTTCTTTTCTTTTTTTGTTTTTAGGCAAGTCAATTGTAGATAGAAAAGAGAGAATATACAACATAGGGCCAAAGCCCAACAAGCCCGAAGGCAAAACAAGGCCCATACAAAAGCCCAAACAAAAGTTCAAACAAAAACGAAGTCCCTATGTTGTATATTCTCTCTTTTCAATCTACAACCAATATGACCATTGCTACCCCAAACCAGTAACAACAGAGAACATGTAGAAGATGAGCAAGAACAGATGTTGCTTACTGTTGGAGTCTGACTCTGATCACAGAGCTCGGAAGGCTCCAATCATCAGCAACAGACCTTGAGATAACACAATCAGGAAATACATAGTGGAGAGCTTGCATCGGATACAGTCATTAATCTCTTTGCAAATTTTCATGTCTGTATAACGTTTTCTTGAGAAGGTTCGGTTGTTTCTCTTACTCCAAACAGAATAAATAATTATTGCAAAACACATCTTATAGCTAGACTTCGAATTGGGACTCCATAAACTAGCAATCCAATACGTAATGCCCACCACACTCTGTTGTCCAGAGTAAATGCCGCACTTATTCTGGAATAATTGTCGGATTTTGTTGGAAAAAGGAAAATTAAAGAACAAGTGGTCATGGGTTTCGTCATCCCTAGAACATAGAGAGCATAATCTGCTAAAGATTCTACCAGAAAACCTGACTTTGTCTCTAGTTTTGATTTTATGGTGGACGGCAATCCAAGCCATATTGAAGGCATGTCTCGGGTTGTGGTTTTGAAACCAAAGCATATGAGACCAGTTAGATCGAGGAACAGAGGGAGGGGGAGAAGAGCCATATATGCATTCTCAGGGAATAAATTGTATATTTCCTTATTTTTGTTGGATTGTATTGAAGATACAATTTAATATATTAGTTAGAAAAGAAGGAAATAAAAAATTTTAAATTAGTTTTTAAATTCTATTTAATAATATCTATAATATTGTAATTTATAAAAGATAATATTGTAATTTAAAATTTTTATAATTTAAGATAATATTTAATTTAAAATTTTTATAATATCTCACTTTCACAGTAGAAGTGGAATGATAGAGAACAATACAAGAATCATCATTGGCTACAATTCAAATGTCTAAGGTTCATATTATATACATGTATAATTCAAATGTCTGTTATCATTTTACAGATTTGATCTGAGCATCTTTACCCTACAATTTTTCCTATTTTCAACAATATTAACAAATTTTGAAAATTGAGTAATAACCTTAGATTATCTTCTACTGAATAAAAAAAAAATTATTTTTTCCTTCTTATTTTCTTTTCACACATCTTCTTTCTCTTCTACTGAAAGCATCAATCAGTCTAACATTTATTGTTATCACCTCAACTTAGATTCAAATTACACATGAATAGACTCTTTAACATTTATTATTATCACCTCAACTTAGATTCAAATTACACATGAATAGACTCTTTAACATTTATTATTATCACCTCAACTTAGATTTGTCCTGTGTACTAAATGATAATATTTTTTTTTGCCTTTTTAGCTTAAAGTCACTTCCCCAAAAAATAAAAACGAAGAAGAAGAAGAAGAAGCAGGAGAAGAAGAAGAAGAAGATTAAAATAATAAATATTGAATGGTCCCAAATCTAAAATCTCAAAAGAGATGAGTATAATTTAACTTTTTTTTTTTTGTTTTTTTGGGGTGCACATCCATGTTGGTTGAAAGTTGTTTGTATTTTATGCCCATGATTTTTTAAAATTATTGAGTGGCTACCCCTACAATTTTAAAAATACCTCAAGATATAATTATGTCCGCACGGATATTTTGACTAATCACGTCACATCACGATCTGTAGACTCAAGTCACTCAACTCTCAACCCATCGTCTCTGGCCTCTCCCTCCGGCGATCCCCATGTCCATCGTCTCTCTCTCTCTCTCTCTCTCTCTCTCTCTCTCTCACACACACACACTTGTCAAGAAATAAGAACCCTAATTTTCAGAGCTGTCCTCATGTTTGCCAGACTCTCAACTCTGATCATTGTTAGGTATTTACTGTTCTTGTCTAGTTGGCTTCAATACCAGTTTCATCCCTCACTCGCCCTCCCAAGAAGGACCTCATCTACGTTGTAAGTTTGTAGTCTTTCTCTCTATACAGTATACACACCCAAACATAAAACATATTTGAGCTAATAATTTTGGGGTTTTTTTGTTTTTGTTTTTATAACAGGTATTTAATCCTTTATTTATGATGATTTCCAAAGAATCCCGCAAATCTTGTCCTCAATCTGTAAGTTCCAAATACATTGCTATAAGAAGTAATCAAATTGTCTAATATATGTGTATGATTCAAATATATATATATATATATATATATATATATATATATATATATATATATTCTATTAGTGGGTTGTCCTGCTGTATTAATTTCTCTTCCATGTTCTGTTTGAGAGAAAAAATAATAATTGAGAAAAAAAAAATGTTTTGGGTATTCATTATTTTCTGTGTTTGTATTCGTTCTTTGTTTGCTCTTGTTGAGAGTATCTGCAAAGAGATAAATTAATATTTTTCTCAATTTTATATTTTAACTGGATTTGAACATGAGAAGATAGATTGTCTTCTTTCAACAGAGTCATGCTTTCTCTGGTGGTGGTGGCTGAGACAATATGAGACTTTATATGCTTTATTCAGGTTGTCACGGAAGCGAAGAAACTATGAATGCATAGTTCATTTTGGTTCTGTTAAAAAGGTGTATTCAATATTTATGTGTAGGAGATGAATTGTTAATGTAGTCAATGAAATTATCAATGAATGTTAAAGTTATTGAGGTACTTTGAAAATTTTATCTTCTTGTTTAAGGCCACTCCCCCAACATTATTTTCTGACTCCGTCACTGGCCATGCATTATTCACCCCACAGTGGTCACAAGGGGGAGCTCAAAACCATGTTAGACCAAGGAATTACATAGGGAGGAGGAGGGAAGAGAAACAGAGAAGTGTGAGTAGTAGGGGGAAAAAAAAAAAAAATTTAACCCAGATGGGGAAGCAACCCATATTACAGAGTCTGAAATAGAATTCAAGGGAAGTGGAAGGCTGAGTAAGCATGGTTGTGAAGTCACTGAGAGAGGCGTATCTCTGGATATGAGAGTGTACTTGAGGAGATCATATGTCAATTTTGATTGATAAAGGCCCTGAGGGAAGCCAGTTATCAAACCAGAAAGATGTATTTGAGCCATTGCCAACCACAGATTTGGTGAGAGGAAACCTCTGAATTGAAGCAATTTCAATAACATTTATTAGGTATGCTCAAATCTCAAGACTTTTCTCTTCTTTAATGAGAAAGTTGCATCGAATATTTGTGAATATAAGATTATGCATAGTTAAACCAAAGTTAAATCGTATCATGAAGCCTTCTCATTAGATGCTCCACACACACCGATATATATATATGCAGTTAATTTCATTTGCTTTCTTTTTCTTCTTTTTTAAACGGATGTTTTGTATAATCTCTTATTGAGGACTTAATAAAGCATCCTTACTTTGATGTAAAACGGTATAACTGCTCTAAATAAACGAATTTATTCTTGCTGTTCTACCTATTTATACATATATCAAATCTTCCTTTATTCCTTCTTTGGTTTAATTGCCACATCTATTTATATAAAAGTCTACGGTAATAATTAAAGAAATCCATAATATGCTAATCACTTACCAAATTCCCTGACAAGCAGATGCAAAATCTTTATTTAAAATTAAGAAAAAATCTCAATAAATCGTAATTTAAGGAAAGAATATTCCAAAGAATACTGAACGTGGTATCATGACAAGCGTTAAGAAACAACTTATTTAATACAATCACAACATCATTACAATCTAATCTTTAGTGAGAAGATAACTATCACAACAAAATTAAGCAAGTATGTCTTATGAACACTGGAAATCAGGAACACCAACTCTCATGATAGAGATGTACAAACCACACAGAATCACGAAATGGTATTGACATGGAATATTCTGGCACATCCATACACAGAGCAAAACGCTTGTAAGGACATCATCAACAAGAGCAAAATAGCAGCCAGCAGTGTGAGAAATTGCCATGACCCAAACACATAAAGCTTCATGAATTTCCCAACTCTAACCTTCCACCTACCATTGTAATACTTGTTGACATCTTCAATCACTTTATCTAAAAAGGGCACTTTGGTCAACCTAACAGACTTGCTCATCCCATTCCACAGCTTGGCCACTTCTTCATCACTCTTCAAATTCAAAATAATCTCTCTTTCTCTAAGGAGCTTTGCATCCTCTTCATTATCAATAATCCCAATCATTAATTCCGTGTAACGAGTGAAAACCAATGGCCCCGATGCATTACAAACTTCATATGCTACTAAATTTCTAAAGATTGCCTCCGTATTCCCGTCTAAACTAATTGTAGGAAGGTATAATGTAACGTTTTTAACATCGAAACTAATGGTTGAGATGCTACCCTTAGTGGGTAAGAAATGAACACCGGCTTTGGAGAGCTCGGTGATTGAAGGGATTGTGATTTCCTCGACTAGTGGAGGTTTGTCAAAGTTAGTATTCGAATTTAAAGTACTCCCATTTTCAGATTTCCCTTCTTTATCTCGGGAGGAGAACATATATTCAATGGGTTGTTTCAACACACTAAATAGTGGAAGGTTAGAGATCATTGTCCAAGGCAATTTTAGTATCACTTTGACAGGCTTTGAGAATATTACCCTCTTGAGAAGACGCGCTGGGCCTTTGTTTAATTTTGACAGGACCTTCCAGATCTCTTCAAGGAATTGTTTAACGTAACTTGATTTCCCAAATGAATTTTCTTCTCCTTTCTTGGCATCTTGTTCATCCTGAACTTCAGTTGTTTCGCATGAATGAAAATCTTCCAATTTGGGCACTATCACTTGGTACAAGAAGTCTAGCAAGTGAGTGAGCTCAGAGAGTTGAACATTTGGTAATTCTTCCATCATCTTGAAGGGAGAAATCTCCTTGCACAATCCTATTAGCATGGAATGTAACATATCATCCGATAACTGTAACGATGAAAATTGGAATTCTAGCACCTTTCTTAGTAAGAAGAGTGGAATTTGATTCTCAAGCATTACCATGTCACGAAGAATGTCATTATGGGCCAAATGGGACATCCTGGATGAAACTCTTGTTAGAGTCTTACCTTCTTTGAGAGCATAGATTTGAAGGAACTCAAGCATGAAGGATGCATCTACTGCCATCATCCAAGCCAAGGTTTCGCCGTTGAAATCTAGGTACTTGTGGTACGAAGCTCGAATCCTCAGCTCCAGCTCTATCAAAGAGCTGACAAGATGTTGGAACTTGAGGCTCTGGAGCTGTTTCTGCATTCTTTTTGCGGCAGCAAGCTTATATCTCTCCATCTCATAGAGCTCGGGACGCCAATAATGGTACGGCCCTAGTGCAACTTGTTGTGGAATATATGAATCCGGATCACTAGCCATTAGGGTTTTGGGCACGTTGAAGATGCTGACGGGGATTTCAGCTTCCTCTTCAAGCTCTTCCTCTAGGCTTCGACGCATTTGAATGACCCATTGATGCTCATCAAAGTTTGAGCTCGAGTTTGAGGTCATGGTGGGTTGAAGGGAAGACATGTCACTTGTTCTAGGAAAAGTTTGTTTTGGGTAATGTTTTTTGGTTTAATTGAATGGAGAGCAAGTTCAGAGAATGAGGCTTTATATGGGTTTTAAATTTCACAACATGGAATGGATTTTAATTGGAGTGTCACAAGAGAAATGCTATTCTCATTGTCAATGGAGTCTCCCACGGTACCACCTACTTGCTAAAAAAAACAAAAATAGGGATTCCCCACCCAGCTCAGGCCCATATATTTTTCTAATAACACGTGGTATGCATGGCCCGTCCAAATTTTAAACACGATGATTGTGCTAATTGCTTGGAAATTATTTTCATCAAAACTAGTCAAAAGCAAAAAGAAACAGTACCAAAAGTACATTGAAGTTCCAAATACATCCAAGAAATAATGAACCTGTGATATGTATACATGGCTGGGACCCTAGTACGGTTTTTTATATTGTTCCTTTTGCATATTTTTTTTACGGATTCTTATCTAGTCTTTCATGTCAATGCGACTGCATCACAATTTAACTCTCTAAAAACATTATTGGGATTCTCTGCTGAGAGAAAAAAATAAAAAAATAAATAAAAATAAAAATTTACAGTTTAATTTTTATTCCCAATCTTAAAAGATTACTTTTTAGAATTTATCTATTGAGGACTGTGGCAATATCTGTAACTCGATCATCGTTCTATAATTCAGTCGTTAACATGCTTGTTTAAGAAATGATATCACATAAAATGTGTGATGTCCTTCTATGAGGAACTGAATCTTCAGTGATTTCACAAAAAATAAAAATAATAATAATAATAATAAATAAATAAATAAATAAAATAAAAATAAATAATTATTATTAACAAGAAAAATTAGAGTACAGTGACTTAATTTTAATGAAGCAGAAGTGCACTGTCAAACGCGGACGCCACTTGAACAGGGGAACAAAACCTAATTACTCTTTACAACTCGAGAAATTAGGGTTTAAAATTACAGTCCGATTGTGCCTTTAACGATTGACGAAATTTTAATCGTGATGATCACTGTGTGAGGTGAAAATGCAAGTTAATGGCAACTTGACACATCAACGGGGCAATTAAAAGCCGATTCAGTTGAGTGAAACCCTAGTTGCACGTTCAATATATAGCTCAACAACGCACCACAGAAAACTCATCGCCATGATCGACATGGTATTGGTGTCGAAATCAAAGTGAAGAAGATATGACCTTCAAACCCACAAATGAAACAATGCATTTTCAAAGTCAAAGGACTTGCATCCTGCAAATGAGGCAACAATATAATACGGTATTGTGCTTTTGCAGTAAAAAGAGCAACAATACAATTGGTTGTTTCTTTAAATTCCATGAAATTGACCATTTTCCATGACTGCAAACATAGCCACAAGTGTTTAACTGACTATCATCAACGCTTCGCCTGCTAAGTCATTGTAGCCAACAATATTAACTTGAACCTTTGCTTGATTAAAGATACCACAATCAAATGGTTCCTTTGACACCTCAAAATTCAATGACTTCTTCGTTAACTAATATGAAAAACAAACTCACAGTAAACATGATATCCGATCTTCCTTTTTTTTGGGGGGGGACAAAATTGACAATGGCATCGTAGCTGAGTTTCTTCACCTCAGGCAAGCTCTGCTGCTCCATCTCTCTTGTGCCCAAATCCACCAATCCATCCAACTTCAATGAGTATAAACCTATTTCCAGCTACATCACCCTTTACAAGCGGATTACAAATCTTAGCCAACAAGTTAAAGCCCATTCTCCCCCTCGTCATTGACCCAGCTCAATCTGGTTTCATCAGTGGTAGAAGAATTGATGACAATTTCTTTCTTTCTCAGGCACTCAAGTTCACCTAGATGTGCCTCTTGCGAAATTAAACAAAAAAACACAAGAAATAGATCAATCACACACACAACAAGAACACACACAGATTTTACTTGGTTCACCCAAAATTCAGGGTTACATCCAATGGTTGAAACAGCTGCAGATACAAAGAGTTTAGAATGAATAAATACCCTCGCACTAGGGCAATATAATAAGTGCGGAAATAACCAAAATACCCTCCAAATAAGTTGGGTCTTGTTGTACAGTATGTATCAAACTCCACACTACCCATCAATCTCCCACTTGGAGACTGATAAACATCAAACTATCAACTCCCACATGCCTTCATACATAGCAAAACACCATAGCAACTCACTCCTTTGTCCTCAAGCTTGAACACCAACTGAAGCTAAACAAAGCTTCAGTTTCTCAATTAAAACTGCCTTGGTTAACATATCTGCTGGATTTTTACTCCCATGGATCTTCTCAAGTACGTGATAAAACTTTATCTTCTAAGTGTAAGCGTATGAAATGGTACCTCAAATGTATATGCTTTGTTCTGGAATGGAATGCCAGATTTTTAGTAAGATGAATAGCACTCTGACTATCACTGTACAAAATACTATTCTCTTGCTTCTTACCCAATTCTTCGAAAAAACCCTACAACCAAATCATCTCCTTGCTAGCTTCTGTAATTGCAACATATTCAGCTTCTGTAGTCGATAGAGCCACAATCTTCTGCAATTGAGAGACCCAACTCACTGTTGTACCACCCAAAGTATACATACACCCTGTAGTACTCTTCCTATTATCCATATCACCAGCCAAGTCTAAATCAACATAACCATGCAATGCAACCCTTTTCCCAGTAAAACATAGTGATGTTTCTGTGGTACTCTTCAAGTATCTAAAGATCTATTTTATGGCCTGCCAATGATGCTTGCCTAGATTACTCATGTACTTGCTCACAACTCCCACTGCATATGCTATGTCTGGTCTGGTACAAACCATGGCATACATTATGCTACCAATAGCTGAGGCATATGGAACTCTTTCCATGTATGCTCGTTTATTCTCTGTCTTGGGCGACTGTTCCTTAGTTAGTCCGAAGTGACTAGCTAATGGGGTGTTCACTGGTTTTGCATCTTGCATGCTAAATCTGCTGAGAACTATTTTAACATACTCTGTTTGTGACAGCTTCAAAGTAACACCCACTCTGTCTCTGCAAATCCTCATGCCAAGTATCTGTTTTGCTTTACCCAAATCTGTCATCGCAAAATGCATAGACAATTGTTTATTCAGATTTTTAATTTCCTCGAGACTTGACCCAACAATCAACATATCATCAACATACAATAGTAAGATAATGTAACTATTGTCAAATCTCTTAACATAACAACAATGATCTGCATAGCATCTCGTGAAACCATTACTGCACATGAATCCATCAAACTTCTTGTACCACTGTTTGGGGGCCTACTTCAAACTATATAAGCTCTTTTTCTGGTACTGTGTGATACCCCCTAATTTTGGAACACGGATTGATCAAGTCCGCGCACAAAATCAAGGGATATCAAAACAATTTAAGTATTTAACAAGCACAGAATACAAAGATGAATAATAAAGAATAAATAAACCGCTGAAGAAAACTAATAAATAAATATTACTTAATGATTCTCCAACAATTACAATTCGGAAATCCCATAACTCAAGGATCCCTTAAAACATTATCCAATAATCCAATACTATTTAAAAGTACACAAGATGAATAGACGAATGACAGTCTCCCAGCTGCGGATCCTCAACCTCGAGACTGGAACCTCTAATAACCTGAAAAATAAATCGTGGGTTAAACCCTACGAGCAAGTTCACTCTACCAGGCCTCTGAAAACCAATAAGCAGATCATCTCTGATCAAAACCAAACCTAATAAAGTTTTAACTTTAATAAAGCACGATATACATGTCTATATATAATTATATATACTATACTAATCACATCCATTAATAGGTTTATTAAATTTCCATACCTATTAAATAATTATTAAAATAATATTCATACCTAGACCAATCTACCATTTCATTTTATAAAAACTCCTTTGACCTTAATCCCATCCTAGTCAGTTGTTTAATCATTTAAACAACAAATTATAATAAAAGAAATACTCTATTTAATCCCAACCCGATAATGATTTTAATTGTTTAAATCACATATCCAAAATCCAAGTTTTGACAAATCATCCACGTCTTCCCCAATATTATTTTATTAATGTAAAATAATACACTAACCAGTAAGTACTAAACTATTCTCATTTAAGAATATCTAACCCTAATCCAATCCATACATACAACAACCATAGATGATATTTTAATCATCTAACACATAACAACGTAATTATGCTTTGGCAAATCAACCATGCCATTGTAAATATTTTTATTTATATATTGGCAATTCAACCATGCCTCCATAAGTATATTTATTTATACATTGGCAATTTAACCATGCCTCCGTGTATGTATATTTATACATTGGCAATTCAACCATGCCTCCACAGGTATATTTATTCATACATTTAATTAGCAATTCATCCATGCTTTCCATATATGTATTCTATTCATACAAATATTTAGGTAATATATTTAATCATTTGACAATTCATCCATGCCCACACTTTAACCATGAATTAACTTTAAAATTAACAATACGCTAAATCATACATAGCCATCACATGCATATTATACGCATATCATTAATTTAACAACCAGCCTATTAAGATATGCCAAATAAGAATGATAATATTAATCATCTTAAATGATTTATATATATATATATACCTACACATATGTTATTTAATGTATATATGTGTTTAACACCTTCTTTAATAATCCTTGATTATTTAAAATCAATATACATACATACATATATATATATATATATATATATATATATATATTCATCCTTCCATATATATATATATATATTCATCCTTCCATATATATATATATATATACACTTCCTTCCATAACAAATTATTAATTTATTATATTTACACAAATTAGTGCAACTAAATATGTCAGAAATAGTTTCCTTTAAATACTCCATATTGGTTTAAATAGTTTTCCGACACTTTCTCACTAAAACATAAATATCTCCTAGTAGGATGGGAATCTGATAATGAATTTGGTATCATTGGAAAGAAGACGAAA